TTTTCATTATCTCGCATATTCATTATTTCTTCTCTGCTTCTCTTCTGGGGAGTGAAAATGTCAGGCTCCAGTTTTTTTCCAAGGAGGATATTACATTTCAGTTTAGGGAACACTGGCCTGTTTCCCAATGGTACTTGTAACTACGGGGGAGAAAACTGATGGCCAGTCAACAAAGGCTGATTCACGGTTGACCTGGGTTGAAAAGCAGTGGACTTAATATGTTCATATAGTCAGTAGGGAGATATTTGTAATACAGAGTAATGCTATTTTGACTTTTAAAGTTGCTCATTGATGAGATTAAGTCTGATTTGTGATTTCTAATTGTTTTGTTTTATTACTGCACTGTAAGGTGTTCTTGAGCCAGATGCTGCACAGTCTCACACAGCTGGACCACTGCAGCTGTGCTCTTTAGATTTTTGTTCCCATTCCTGTTTGTTTTTGGGACTCTTGTTTAATGATTTGTGCAACAGAGTTTTAAAGATGACCTTTATTTCCATGATGTTTTGGTGTTTGAATGGTTGTATTGTATTGCTTATTTATATATGGACCCAAGATTCAAACTTGACAGAAATCAGTCAAGTTTGGTGAAGGAAAAATCATGGTTTGGGGTTACATTTAGTATGGGAGAGTGCTAGAGATCTGCAGAGTAGATGGCAACATCAGCAGCATGAGGAATCATTTGTGCTGCCCATTGTGCAGACCACAGGAGAGGGCAAACTCTTTAGCAGGATAGCACTCCTCATTCTTCAGCCTCCACATCAAAGTTCCTAAAAGCAAAGAAGGTCAAGGTGGTCCAGGATTGGCCAGCCCAGTCACCAGAAGTGAAAATTATTGAGCGAGATGTAAGATGAAGAATGAGGGATTGAAGATGAATCCAAAGAATCTTGATGAACTCTTGATGAAGGGGAGTCCTGCAAGATCGCTTGCTTTGCCATTCCAGATGACTTTAAGTTATTCAAATCACTGCAGAGATGTATGGATGCAGTCCTCTAAGCTCATGGGAGTCATATACATTATTAATTCTTTTTCCACTGGTCCATGCCTTTATATTCAATGCTGTACATTATTCTGTTACGTGACAAAACTTTTGTCTAAGCAAAGTCAGACTTTACTGTCCTAATTAAATGAATAAATAGTAAATTATCGGTACAATAAGCATAATAGAGGCCTTTGCCTTTCATATAAGCCACTTGTGATACTAAATGATCAACTACCAGTCAAGTTATTATTTGTTTTTCCTAAAACTTTTGTAGGCAACAAGACTTTTGTCAGGTATATATTTAATGAAATGCTGCAGTTCACACTTTCTTAAAAATTTGCAGCTTTTTCACTATCAGCCATACAGTTCTGTTTGGTTAACAGATCTATTTGTGCCAATCCGGGCCAGTCAGCCAGTTCTGGATGTAACAACACAAAAAACTGTCATGGCAGACTTTGGCTAATTTTTGAATGACCAAAACAACATTTCAGATGTTGTGCAATGTGATCGGTCTGTTGGTTTGTCAATTAATGCTGTCTCATTGCACCAATTTTTTATCATCACATGATCTGTTAAAATAAAATCACACGACTTTTTGAAGCAGCTGTTGGACTTCAAACATTAAATACATTTCTATTGTAGTTTATGGCCATTTTTGATGGGCATTTTCTTACTATCTAAGTTGTATTTTTATGTGCATTTGCGCATCTTGCCATTTTCGCTATTTTTTTTTTTTTTTTAGCAAAAACAATTTAGTTAAAAAAAACAAAATATTTCAAAATCCGCATAAAATTAGGTTTATATAAACAGCTCATTTCAGCTTTTAATTAATCTGGATTGTGATTTCTTATCAGATTATTATGCATCCTCAGTCTCGATTGAAACAAAATTAAGTTGTTGCAGATAGATGTTTGTGACTATTATAATAAAAAGATGTCCATAGTTTCCATGTCTTGTTGCCCTAAATAATTGTATTGGTCTGTGTAGAGTATTTTTAAGCATTTCATGACTAACTGCATCTTGTCTGCTGATTTGTCTCTGACAGTGTTCATTTTTTTAGCCCTCACATTTCCTTCCAGCATCTTCCTCTTACGACAGATAAAATAGCTGAATTTAAGTGCTTATTTTACCCTGCAGTAGGGTAAAGGAATGTGACCAAAATCTTAAATCACAATATAAGTTATATTATATTATTTTATAAATGATTAAATATGAAATTTAGCAATTTATTAAATACGATAATTTATTAAATATTGATATATTGGGGCAGCACGATGGTGCAGTGGGTAACACAATCGCCTCACAGCAAGAAGGTCGCTGGTTCGTTTGCATTTCTGTGTGGAGTTTGCATGTTCTCCCCGTGTTGGTGTGGGTTTTCCCCACAAGTCCAAAAACGTGTGGTACAGGTGATTTGGGTAGGTTAAATTGTCCAGTGTGTGTGTTTGTGTGTGTGTGTGTGTGTGTGTGTGTGTGTGTGTGTGTGTGTGTGTGTGTTTGTGTGTTTGTGTGTTTGTGTTTGTGTTTGTGTGTGTGTGTGTGTGTGTGTGTGTGTGTGTTAATGAGTGTGTATGGATGTTTCCTAGTGTTGGGTTGCAGCTGGAAGGGCATTCACTGCGTAAAACATACTGTATGCTGGATAAGTTAGCGGTTTATTCCACTGCGGCGAACCCAGATTAATAAAGGGACTAAGCCGAAAAGAAAATGAATGATAGACTGTGTCTTAATACATTTTAAATTATATTATAACTTTAGGGCAAATGTTTACTAAAAATATACATTACATTTACATTTTGACTAAAAATGTTGAAATATTCAATAAATATTTTGTCTAAAAAAATGCAATCTCTAAACGTTGTACTTTCAAGATTGCATTTATGTTTCTGTCTGCATAAAGTGTTATTCTAAACAATGTATTTTGTGACACAACAATATAAATGATAGAGCGAAATATGAAAGGGTAGACTTTTTATTTTGTCCATATGATATGTATGGTCATATTGCACAACCCTGCCCTGCCCTGCCCGGCAGTCTTGGTTTGTAAAAGAGGTGATCAGTGACGTCAAAACTGTGCTAATGGAAAGAGGAAATTTCCTGAGCCAGAGGAAGACTCAGTCGAAGCATGTGCTGGCATGTTTGTGTCTTCATTTAGATAGTATTTTACTGATCAGGACAGCACTTCTGTTTGTTAAACAGGATTAAGTTACATGTGATCATGAGAAATGACGTCTAATCCGGATGCATGTAAAACTGCATCTTTTTCTCTGTTTTGGTCTTCTGGCCGCACCGAGATAGCATTTTTGTCAGATGATCAAGTTTTTCTGCTAAAGTGTGTAGATTGTGAAGACTGAGGTCTGTGAAGTCATGTGATTCTGAAAAGATAGATCTTTGTTTATACTGATAGGAGTTTGTTAAAGCGTTCATATATTTACATGTAATCAAGTTTAGATATGCTGTTTTCAGATGTACCCAAATTAATGTAGATGTAGAAATCACCCAGGATATGATTCATCTTCGTTCTCCTCAACTCTGTTACATTGACCATTTAGAAGATCTCTAGTGGACTGAAATTAATCAGATTGATCTATTGGCATTTATATATTTACATATATTTAAATATATTTTTCCTGTAGATCCAAGAAACGTATTTTAATGAACATATTTCTTAATTTCTCCATTTAAATTGACTGTGTCCTTTTGCAATGCTTTATTTTATTGTAATATTGTCATAATATATATGTATCTTATATATTTATGTAAAAGGAAACATTGCAGTGAAGTATAGAAGTTTTTATTTTTATTTTAAAAGAACTCTTAACAGTTCTTGGGTTTAATCCGATTTCAAATGGCAAAGAAAATATTTGCTTATATATGTTTATTTCATATCTTCTACTGCCATCTTGTGGTAAACGCCTTGTATCAGCGACAATGGAGAAATATTTTTAGACAATTTATTTGTATGCCTTCCTTTTGACTGAAATAAAATTTCACTTTTAACTTTTAGTTACATTAGATATATTTAAAATGAGTCGCTTATAATATATACAGTTGAAGTCAGAATTATTACCCCCCCCAAAAAAAATTATTAGCCCCGTTAATTTTTTCCTCAATTTCTGTTTAACACAGGGAAGATTTTTTTTCAACACATTTCTAATCATAATAGTTTTAATAACTCATTTATAATAACTGATTTATTTTATCTTTGCCATGATGACAGTAAAGAATACTTGACTAGATATTTTTCAAGACACTTCTATACAGCTTAAAGTGACATTTAAAGGCTTAATTAGGTTCACTAGGCAGGTTAGGGTAATTAGGCAAGTTATTGTTGAATGATGGTTTGTTCTGTAGACTATCGAAAAAATATATAGCTTAAAAGGGCTAATCATTTTGACCTTAAAATGGTTATAAAAAAATTAAAAACTACTTTTATTCTAGCCGAAACAAAAAACAAATAAGACTTTCTCCAGAAGAAATTTTTTTTTATCAGACATACTGTGAAATTGTCCTTGCTCTGTTAAACAACATTTGGGAAATGTATAATAAAGAAAAAAAACTTTTAAAGGGGGCTAATAATTCTGACTTCAACTGTATAAACAGTCAGTAGTAATATAATGTATGTTTTAAAAGATTAAAAAGTGTTTTCAAGCGTAAAATTCATAAAGCATAATACAGTCTAAATGTTTCCCCTTTACATTAGAATGTGTCATAATTTATTAACATTTTTTCTCAAGCAAAATATAATGACTTTAATACATTTTTTTGCTACTTCTGACAAACTGTATATTCAAGATAAAAAGTCCTCTGCTTACTTCAGAAAGTTGACATTCTGTTTGTTAAATACTAAATTTAGTAATTAACATATTAATTAATATGTAGTATTTTGGAATATTTAGTATGTTTTCAATGTAAAAAATTTGCTTATTTTTTTGATGTGGACAACAAAATGAGTCTTTGGCCCGGATATGTCCTGTATCTTTTATGTAATATTGACACTCTTGTTTTGTTTTGTTCTTTCTCAAAGGTCCGTTTATGATGGACAGGAACATGGACTCTTCATGGAGAAGCTGGAGGGTCGGATCCGCAACCACGACCGTGAAATTGAGAAGATGTGCAACCATCACTTCCAGGGCTTTGTGGACTCCATTACTGAGCTGCTCAAAGTGCGCGGAGAAGCTCAGAAACTGAAGGTGAAGAAAGAGAAAAGCATTAGTACAGTGTAATCTGGACAGATTAAATAACCTCTTGTGTGTTTGTATACCTGGACAAATCCTAAAACTTTATAGCTCCTGCATGTGATTTTTGCTTCAATTGCTTTCTGCTCTGTCTTTTTCAGGGGCAGGTGACCGAGACCAATCAGAAACTGCAAAATGATGGCAAGGAGGTGCTTGGCTTAGTCTTTGATTTCAGAACATCTTAGAAAAATAATTTTATATTAGTATTAAGCATTGTTAAAATGAATGCTTACATCTTATGTAGCTCCTGACGTCAATGAATGAGCTGAGGCAGTGCCGTGTGCAGCAGAGAAACATTGCCACCACTATTGACAAACTCACACACTGCTTACCAGGTACAAGCACTTTTTTTCTTCGGACGTCACGCTTAGCTGATACTTTGCCTTTCTATTTACATTTCTATCGAAAAGTTTGAGGTACACAGCAAATTCATCAGAGTTAAATTCTCGGTGTTGAAGCATTTGAGAGTAAAGTGTTGACGTTAAAGAGTTAGATTTTGATAAATGAATATAATAAGAGTTAGAATTGATTTTATTCAGTGCGAAATCAAGGAGTTATCTTTTCTACACTTGGTGGTGTTATTTCCAACATCCGGGAATTCATGCAGCCCCAGTCACTGAAGAATTTTCCAGACACCATTTTCCATCTGAGGTTTAGAACAGCAACTGGTGAGTCAAACTACCTAAATGTTGGTATTTTACTGACTTTCTTTAAGGAAATACAGTTGTACACATGTTGTTAAGTTAATAACTTTAGAATGGAGTGACAATTTTAAACTTCTGTGGTTCATTCATGGTCGTTTGTGTATCTAGCTTAACTGCATTACTATTGACTTCTTTTCAAGAATGTTTTTATATATGCTCACGCATACATAGTGCATAAAAACATCAAATGTACATGTTCAGCACATTTCTGTCACGCTTAATGCCATTTTGTGCGTTGTTACCCATCTGTAAAATAAAATCGACACTTCTCCTTTAATTCTAAGCAAACTAGCGAGGGAATCCCCGGAGCCGCCTAACGTTAGCCTACTCTGCCCGGATGCTAACGGCAACACAGGACGGTTTCCATAAGCTCTGGAGAGTTTCTAAAACATATCTGGTGAGTAAATGAACATATGCTTACTTGTAAAAGGCTTCCTGACTGAAACAAATGATTGTTTGTTATTCGTGTACGTTAATTTGGCCCTTTTAAACTGGTTCATTCGTGGCCGTCCATATACCGTTAGTCCATAACTTAGACTCGTGTGATAACGTACGCTTGAATTATATTAAGTGTTGACAACCATTAAAGTCGGAATGTTAACATTAATGTCTTTAAATGACCGCGTTTGCACTTTATCAGACATTTAACGTTACAGAAGTCTCCCGGAAGTTGCGGGACTAACGTTATCCCGCAAATGCACGGAGAATCCCAGATGCCCAAGTAGATGCCCGCAAATGAATGATCATCTCCCGGAAATCGCGCGTCTCCGGCCCGGTCATTAAACACTTTGCACGCCCCTCTCCACCGCATCCCTCCCAGCTCTTCAGGTACGTCGCGCTCTAGTCACCCCCACCGCTCTTCAGGTACGTCGCGCGCAGCTCATCCCATTGCTCTTCAGGTTCTTATCTCTCCCGCTACCTCCCGCAAATCAACTCTGTATCCCCCGAAAATGACTTTTCCCAACTCGGGATGTCTGACGTTAGTAAGTTAGGCTATTTCTGTTGTCAGGAACATCTTAGTCAAGCTTTTTCTCCCGCATGATATTGTGCTTAGAACTATAGACTAAACTTAGCATGCACTGTACACAACATTTCCGTTTTATTAGTGCGTTGTAAACAGCCACCTGTCTGTAAAATTAATCAACTGATTCATATTTGAGCAGCCTAATGATGATACAGGTTTGATTTGTAGATTTATTATCAATAATCAACATCTGAATCAAAAGATATGTGAAAATGTGTGAGGCATACTTTGTGATGTTCATCTCTCTTTTTTATCTGAAGGTTATGCATATGTGTTTGATACTAATGTGTTGTTTTTTAACAGCCACAGTTCTCTGTACAATAACACAAGACCCTGTGACGGTGGCTGATTAGAGACGGATGGTGTATTTCCAGAGTTGGTGAAATGACCAAGCACACCTTCTTGGTCATATGTGGTGATAATAATGAAGGTATGTTTGATAAAGTTCTGTATTTGTTTCACAATAAGCTGAGAGGGTATTAGAGCATTAGAGAATAACAAATGACATGAAGGTGATAAGTTTTGTATTGTGGGTGAACTTTTACTTAAATAATGTTTTGCTGTTGTCTTTGCACTTTTTCTCTTCTGCTTATCCTAATATTTTAGATTATATTTGGACCTGAAACATCTGCTAGACTCCAGTAAAGGTGGTGTCAATACTGGACCTGAAAGGGCCTAACAAGTTGAATCTGGTAAAGAAACACGCACACACACACACACACACACACACACACACACACACACACACGCACACACGCACGCACACGCTTACAGAAAACTGTACGTTTATGAATGTCTTTTACACTGTGGCTAATATTTTGGGGAAGTCAGCATCACTAAATGATATAAAAGATTTTAAGCTCCTCTAAATTTTGCTCCAAGTGTTGTGTTAAATTCAGGATTCTGGACAGACAGCTGCCTGTTTTTCTAGTTCTAGTCATAGTGGTTAACCTAATTGTTTTTGGAGATCCAACAGTGATGTATGTGTTTTTTCTACTTTTCCATATCCTGTCACCTCAACCAGCTGGGAGAGTCAAGTTGTGGATCATCATGAAGATTTTCAAAAGGCGAGTTTATATTTCTTGAATGTTTTATTTACTTTAAATGTTCTTTTAAATATATCATAGAATTTGATTGCAATTTTATTTTCAAACATTTTTCTTAGTCATGCTGGAGTCTTGAAGAGTTCTCAGATGAGCATCACCCTATATCCGTGCATCAGGAACCACCAGATGAGCGATCAGCAGCTACTACATCGTCATGGATAAAAAGGTCATCCTGTGGCTGGGAAGCACTTCATTCACAGGACATGCTTGATGAGATTTCCTAGCTCCAGTTTGTTTTCACATAAGTTTACAGCATTTATACCTTCATTTAAACTGCTGTGTTTGATGTGGAGGACCAAGGAAACACCAGAAGTGAAAGATTTGCACGCCAAGTTGTTTAAAATGTAATTTCAGAAGAAAACTATGCGTTCAGAAGAAAACTATGAGTGACGATATATTGGACTTTCAAATTGCTCTGATGAAACAAAGTTTGGACATCATATTTTGTTGATACTGTCTGTACTAATAAAACATTTAAAGCATATTTGACATTGTTGCATTTTAAAAATTGAATGAATTGTTGAAGTTGTGAATGTTTTCAAATAAAATGTCTTTATTTTGTAATTTACAGTCTATTTGACCTTTTTACCATATTTACACTCAAGAGAGTTGAATAAAATAATATATTACACCAGGTGGTGTTAAATATAGTTACATTTTTTAACTCTGCCCTGAGTTAAAATTAACCCTTACTTCGGTGTCAATGTGCCAACCCTTTTGAAAGTGTTGATTTAAGTCTGTTTTGAGTGGACCCCATGAGACACTTTCAAAGTGTTGAAATTAACACCCATAGAGTTGTTTTGGGTCCCCACATTTTGCTGTGTAAGTATTTAAAAAGTAATTTTTTTTATTTTAAATGTATATTTAAAAAATGCTGTTCTTTTGGGTAATCAAATAATTATTAAAACCGTCACACCAAATATTAAGCAGCACAGCGTTTTTTAGGTGTTTCTTAAGCACCAGATGAGCATATTTGAAAGATTTTATTTGACTGTAATAGTGCTGAAAAACATCTATTAAAAAAAAAATTATAATAATTTCCAAATTATATAATGCATATTATTGGTGAAATAAATGATGTCTGTGTCCAATATTTAAAAGAAAAAAATCCAATGGACCTTAAACTTTTGAACTGCTGTATGATTTTCTTATTATGTTTTCTGCCTGGAAACTCGCATGCTGTGCTCTTGACTTTTTGTCCATATTCCACATGTGTTTTTGTTTTTTTCATGCAGTGTTGGAGATGTACAGCAAACTGCAGGAACAGATGAGGGCCAAAAGGTATGATTTTTTTTTTTCAGATGTGTTTTTTTGTGCGCGCGCGCTGAAAATATATGACAGATAAACACTAGGTGGCGGTAGAGATATACTTATAAAAGTTAAGCTGCAAGCGAATGTCAGTGCCCACAATATTTGAACACCTCTTATACACCTCCATTCTCAGCTGGGATAGAGAGAGCGAGGAGTTGATGATTTAAACAGCACCTTGATGACTGGACGGCTGGAGTTGCTCATTCAGTTTGATGTGACTAACCAGACAGAGAGAGAGAAAGAGAAGGAGAGAGTATTTCAGATGTCTGCGATGTCCAAAGCAGCATTTGGCAGCTGTCAGGACTCAGACACACAGAGGACACATTTGGATTGCATTTTCTTAGCTTTAGCAGCTGTATACCTTCAACTGTCCTAAAACCTAACATTATTAGGGATCTTTCTTTTATGAATTTTTAATAATTTTTTTTATGGTAGACATCTGACAGGAAGGGAGAGAATAGGGTGGCCGATGTCATTCCAACAGTATGGCATTTCACCTGCATAAGCACACATCTCCTGACCTCCACATTAATTTTGCAGACTTTAAAAGAAAGTAATAACAAAAAAAGTTTAAATACATCCAATATCTGTAATGTTGTGTAAAACTGGAACATTCTTAATGCAGAATAATTATTTTTAACATTAAAACTTAAAATCAAATAATTAGAAAAAAATTTTCATCGATGCATCATTTTTACATTCATTTGGCATTGAGTTTTGCATTTGTATCTTCATTTTTCATTTGTAATTTCATTTTTCTTCAGCTTAGTTCTTTATTAATCATTGGTCACTACAGCGGAATGAACTGCCAACTTATCCAGCATATGTTTAACACAGTGGATGCCCTTCCAGCTGCAACCCATCACTGGGAAACACCCATACACATACAATTTTCACACTTACAATTTTTGGCTTGCCCAATTCACCTATAGCGCTTGTCTTTAGACTTTGGACTGGGGGAAACCGGAGGACCCAAAGGAAACCCACGTGAACACGGGGATAACATGCAAACTCCACACAGAAATGCTTACTGACCCAGCCGAGGCTCGAACCAGCGACCATCTTGCTGTGAAGTGATCGTGCTACCCACTGCGCCACCGTGCTGTCACATTTAATACATAGAAAATGTGTATTATTGTATATGTAAATAGTTTTTTTTTGTTTTGTAAAGGTGGTCCTTCTAAAAGGGGTCATTTATGTGAATAATTAAAGTAGTCCACCTGAATTGTGCCACTTTTGAGCATTGTGGTGTCCTCTGTGTGACCTGAAGATCTGCATGGACTGCGACTTTTCCATCCATTTTGGTTTTTATTTATCTCTGCTCTCCGTGTTTCTCCATCTCTCTCGTGTGCTTGGTTTTGCCATTAGCCTGGAGGTAGCGGCAGGGTCGGCCAAAAGAGACTCTCTCCGTCGTTGGGTCTGCTGTGTAATGTTGCGTGACTGTGATGCTGTATTGAGTGTGTGTGTGTGTGTGATGAGCATAGCTCATCTCTGAGATCATCTTGATTGGGTTAAATTGCTATCATGCTGAGATCTAAGTCTTTAACCAAAGGTTAAAACATGCAGTGCGTGTGCAAGTCTAAACAGTAAGGATAGCCTTGGGGAGAGTTTTGGGTTAGTCAATGGGTCTGTATTTACCCTCCTGGTGCGTTTTTACTTCGTTATTTTTGTTGCCATGTACTTTTGGAAGTATTTCTGGATTCTACTGAGATGTGTCATCAACGTACAAATGATTATAATAGAGATGGTTGATAAGAAATTGTGAAAGTTTGATGACGTTAACTTCAGTTTGAATAAATGAGGTTTAATAATCAAGTCATAAAATGGTATATACATTTTTAATATATTGAAATGTGTAAAAACGAGACAATATATTATTTATAAGTTAACCATACAATTAGAATAAAAAATTAAATAATGTTAAAATATAAATTTAATGCATATGAAAAGAACATAAATAAAAAACATACACTAACATATCCTGCTCACCAATGCTGCATTTATTTATTCATAAATACAGTACAATTTGTAAAACTGAAATGTTATTGCAATATGAAAAACTGTTTAAAAGTAGTTTATCATTTAATTCAATAATTTATTCCTGTGATTTAAAAAATGAATTTTCAGCTTCATTACTCTAGTCTTCAGTCACATGATCCTTCAGAAATCACCAATATTATGTATTATTGTTATTAATAATAATAATAATTATTATTATTATTATTATTATTATTAATAATGATTATAGTAATAAAAGCAATAAACTTTTGACCGGTAGTATTTATTTATTAGTTTCTTTAGATAAAATGTTTTTGTCACATTTAAACAGGGTGTCCACGGAGTCTTTAAAAGTTTTAAAATGTCTTAAATTTCAAAAACTAAATTTTAGGCCTTGAAAAGTCTTAAATTGACTGAAACAAAGTCTTGTAGGTCCTAAATCCTTTTAAATGGGTCTTAAATTTACTTTATCTAAAGCTTCCCATTGAATCCAACACACATCCAATTACCAACAATACATCATCTCAATAAAACGTTTAGCAAAACTATATTCATAACTATTATAACAGTCTGTTGTGCGTATGTTTAGTTTTTTAAGTTATGTTGAAAAAAATGTATGTATACAATTAGGGTCTGCTTGTTTTTGACACATTATTTAAAAAGTGTTGCTAAGAAATAGGTTATTATTATAGTTTTTTGATGGGGCAAGTGCATTTTTTTTCTGCTGGGCCATTAAAAAATCCTAAGCATTTAGCCCTATATAAGTCTGAAATTTCATTCTTCCTGGTCTTAAAAAGATCTTAAAGTCTTACATTTGACTTGGTAAAATCTGCAGAAAACCTGCTAAAACAAACCTGTTTCTTTGTGGCTGCTGAAAACGGAACACTGAACTAGAAATCAAACATTTTTTCCATTGAGCCACCAGAAAAAATGCATTACCATTCATCATAATGTAATCAAAATGCCATGTATATGCAACATTTCCTGTATCCATAATTTCTGACCCTTCCTACACCAGATACTACCCAGCACTACGGACCCTGGAACAGTTGGAGGAGAGCTGTTTGCCTCAAGCAGGATCCTATCGTTTCTGCACCATCATGGCAGAGAATATCCCACGTCTGCGCACGCACATCAGAGACGTCTCCATGTCTGACCTCAAAGACTTCCTGGAGAGCATCCGCAAGCATTCGGATAAGATCGGAGAGACTGCCATGAAACAGGTGTTTGTTTGTGTGTGCGTGTGTGTGTGTGTGTGAGTGTGAGTTTGTGTTAGTAAGCGCTCATGTCTGAATGAAGCCTGAAGGTGCATCACAGCTAGTGTTTGACAGCTGCATCATGCGCTCGCGTCTGACCCGACGGTCACAGCTGGCTTTCAACATGAGTTCTCTGAGGGAAGGACAAAGGCCTTGTTCTTCTTTAGTTTAATGCACTTTTCCCAGTTTTTCCTTTCATCTTATCTCTGACCATCTAGTCATCTAGTCTGGAGGAAAGAGAGAGCTACCAATCTGTTCTGAATCAAAGATCGTTTTAGGTCGCTTTTGTTGATGCCAGAGGAACACTGTGTATGGACACCGCTTCAAGGACAGTGTGCGGAGACGCAGAGAAGACCCAGGGAACACATATGAGAGAAATTGAGTGGATTTTTCGCTGGAATGCAGAAAAGTCCTCTGCTTTCTTTTACAGTTATTAGACCAAGATGGAGCGAGGAGTGCATTAGAATTTAAAATGCCAAATGGACATTTAGATCTCCCAAGCACCATAAAAATCTCACTTTCCCCCGCTCTTTAACATGTTTTCCTCGCTTTCTTCATTGTCCTTTTTCACTGAGGAATAAAATTGATCGTGATGGATGCGGTTTTAGTTGTAAGCAAGGCCTAACTTTTGCACATTTTTGCTGCTTGCTCATACATACTAAGTTAAAGGCATATTTTTATCTGTAAGTATTCCAAATTGACGTTTAACTCATCCTGCGCTGTTTGTTTCAGTCATCAATACTTGTCAGGAACTGGTATTAGGGAGCTAATGAAGCAATTATTTTAATGTTTGGTATCCGCTCTCATTCATTCATTTTTCTTCAGCTTAGTTTCTTTCTTATCCAGCATATGTTTTACGCAGTGGATGCTCTTTTTGCTGCAACCCAGTACTGGGAAACACCCATATACTCACATTTACACAAATACCTTACGGCCAATAATTAGTTTATTCAATTCACCTATATCACATGCCTTTGGATTGTGGGGGGAACCGAAGAACCCGGAGGAAACCCACGTGAACATGGGGAGAACATGCAAACTCCACTCAGAAATGCCAACTGACCCAGCTGGGGTTCAAACCAGTGACCTTCTTGCTGTGAGGTGAGGGTGCTAACCATTGAGCCTCCGTGCTGCCTGTATCCACTCTCCTAAAGGAAAATTTATTCTTGTGAATTGAGTGTATACGGATGGTCCGGCATACCCTTTGCACATTCCAGTCCAATGTTTTTATGCCCTTTACTTTCTCATTTTCCTCTGTCTCGTTCACTCCTTTGAGTTACACAAATGACTATAACTGGCCAAACATCTGAATGAGTTTACATGAAAAATCCTCAACCCTTAAGCATATGAGAACTTCACTGTTGGGATGTCACAATGGCATTGCATTCTGAGACATACCGGTGCTAAAATGGACATATGAAGCAGACTTGCTCCCTCTGTCAAAATCGAGGGGTCGAAAGTATGTTCATGTTAGCTTCACTCTTTAACTTGACAGAGCATTAAAATGGGGGAAGTGCTTGGAAAGGTTTGCGAGTGCAATGCAACTGTACACTGTGACTACATAGGCACTGTTTACACTAATACGTTTTAGTTTTGAAATGCAGAAGTTTGCTATGGTTACACCAAAAGACAAAAGACACCAAAAATGTTGAGGCATTGTGTAGCTACATATTTATATGACCATCATCTTCATTGTATTTTTTTTTAAACAAAACTGAGCCTATTACATACTTGCTCTGCAACGCATGCCAGAATGTGTGTGTTTGGTCACGAGATGTGCATTTTCAGCGATATAGTGTGGACGGAGATCTTTTTAGAAATGCTAGGTGAAACGCCAGTGGATGTTTTCGGTTGTGTTTTCGAATAAAACGGATGTGGATTGTTTTGTTCTAAAACGCTGTTTTAAAACTAAAACGTATTAGTGTAAACAAGGCCACAGTGTGTAAGATCTGTGATTGGTCTGCTTGGTAGATTTGTGCGAGGATAGTGAAGCCAGTGGTGCGAGTGTTAAACTAGTGTCTAACCATGGAGAAACTCCTAATGGGTAATTTTGTTTTGAGTTTTCTTTATGATTAAAGTTGTTGTTCAAGTTTGAGGTATTTTTCAGCTTGGTCTCACAAGGAAATGTAACTTTTTATGTTTTGTTGATCGAGTTCAGCTGTATGAAAATGTACGTTTTTATAAAGGAGGCGTGGCACCCAACCTCACCCCTAAACTCAGCCATCATTGGGGGATAAGCAAATAGTACTAAATTGTACAAATGAGATTGTATGAATTAGACACTAAATCAAAATTATTTGTCGTGAAATTGTGTTAGTATTTTTACAATAGCATTGTACGCGTAAGCCCAAGCTATGCATTGTGGGGAAGGGCAATCACTGGACACACGTATAAATCAGGCTTCAGTCTGGTCCTTTACAAATAACTTACCATGCTAGGAAAATAAAAGATTTGAATCTGGACTTAAACTAATTCTCGAGGCTTAAAGACTAGGGCTCATTTTGCACAGACAATCACTGCCCTCAAATTTTCTTTAGAAAGCTCTCCACTCGTCCAGTCACTGCCAGTTCCTCTCAGTATGGATCAGTTGCTGATCCCAATTATGAAACAGGGGGGAGCAAAAGTAGCCAAAAAGATGTCACAGAAGAGTTCAAATATTCCTCCCTGAAAAAGGCCAAAGCCAAGTGTGTGCACTATAACACGTTCTCTTCTTACTAGCGAACATTTTATTAGCTGCATCCTTACACTTTTCATACGCACAATTAGTAGCAACACTGTTATGTTACTTCAACTTTTTATCCCCAAATAGCACAGTTTTTTTGCCATGCAGTATTGTGTGTGTAGAGCTACTTTTCAGTCTTATGCAGCACTGGAAATTAAATCCATTTATCTTTTTTCTTTTCAGATTGTTTGTTAAACCTGAACAATTCAACAAAATATTTACCTAGTACAGTACTGTGACATTTTGGTCTTTTATTGAATTCTTTAGTGAATAGTGCTAATATTTTCAACCATATTCAATACTTATTTTCTGTTCTAGATTTAATCCTTAAAATGAAATTAGTAATTCAACTTAAAATCTCATTATTTCATTAAGTAAATATACTACTTTTTGTGAAGTTACTAAAAACAATTAATAATTTATTATGTAATCAAGGAGTTTAATAATCAAAGCCTGTTGGCCCAGCTGTATTGTTGTCACATACAGAAGTTGGCTGTTTGGTGTTTACTGCTGCTCAAGTGGACCTTTACCCTATTTTAATAGCTTTAAAATGTAAGTAGTGTAAAGCTTAGAAAGCTAGAGTTTCTAAGTAGCTTTCCCAACACTTTTTCTTGGAAAGTTAATTTTGCCCTTGACAATGTTGACGAAAAGGGGGATTGGACAGTGAAACAATATGTGCATTTATTCAGGTAGGCAGGACTGAGCTAATTTATATGTGTGTTCTACCAGCAGGTATTACTGACTCTGGCAAAATCATGAGAACACTGTAAGTTGAAATCAGAGATAGTCATTTGTTCTATTGCTGGTTTGCTTCCAGTTGCCCCAGTCCAGCTTTTAGTTCCACTTTGTCCCTTTTTCCCTTCTCGTCATCGGCCTGTGCCCTTATCCATAGTTTGAACAAACTGTTGGCTTATAAAACTCCAGTACTTGGTGAGTTTCCACCGGTCCAATCTGGAAGATGGACTCTGTTTGGTCTGAACTTTCTGCTGCTTTATGCTTAGAATCATGTCTTTTACTTTGGTTTTCAAAGGCCATACATGTCTTACAGCTTTTTTCCTTTGTCTAAAACCACATGTTATCATACACTTGATTATTGTAAATGTAATAAATGATGTTGGTATTCATTACATATCAAAGGTCTGGCAGCACAGTGGCACAGTGGGTAGCACTCTCGCCTCACAGCAAGAAGGTTGCTGGTTCGAGCCTCGGCTGGGTCAGTTGGCATTTCTGTGAAGTGAAGTGAAGTGTGAAGTTTGCATGTTCTCCCCGTGTTGGCGGGGGTCTCCTCAGGGTGCTCCAGTTTCCCCCATAAGTCCAAAGACATGCGCTATAGGTGAATTAAATAAGCTAAAATTGGCCATATTGTATGTGTGTAAATGGAAGTGTATGGGTGTTTCTCAGTGATGGGTTGCAGCTGGAAGGGCATTCATTGTGTAAAACATATGCTGGATAAGTTGGCTTTTCATTTCTCTGTGGCGACCCCAGATTATTAAAGAGACTTAGCCGAAAAGAAATAAATGACGTTTATAGAAATAAAAAACATTTTATTCAGGATTTCTGTAGATTTTAAAATGGTTTTAATTCAGAGTAGAAGGCTGTAAATTCATAAAGTTATTGCATTACTTGTTAAATGCATTGCAAAAAAAAGAATTTCCTCCTTAATTTTTTTCAATAAAAATTTTATCATTATTTTTTCTTTTTACATTCTTTGATAACCAAAACATCTTTTGTAACAATTCAAAATTTAATACTGCCACTTTTAATGAATTTAATGTACTCCTAATGAATAAAAAGTTTCAATAATGTAATTATTATTAATACACTCTTACTAACCCAGAGCCATTGAACATGCAGTTCAGGCTCAAATGGTCAAAGCACTTGCATTTGTTACAGCTTTTAAACAAGGCTACACATTAGCCTCTGATTGGAGTTTGAGACCTCCTAGTGTAGTGGGTCATTTCTATTCAGTGTTTGGGATTTATTGAAGGGATTGAGGGAGTCAAAACGAAGAGAATAACATAACAGGGTGAAGGGTAGATTGCACAAGATGGAGTCATATTGGGAACAGTCTGTAAACCTTTTTTTTCCCAAACATTTTTACTGACCGTAACAAAACCCCACAGAGAGCCATGCAGATGCGCAAATAAGTTCTTTTGCCATTTAAACCATTTACATAAGCTGTGAGGATTAATCCCCTGGTGTAATATGGATTGGATGTAAGGGGGATGAGCTAGCCAAACAGATA